CCCCCCCCCCCCCCACCCCCAAAGCAGACTCAGGGACGGGGCCTAAGGACACAAGGGGAAGTTATCAGGACGGAGCAGGAAACCAAAACTGCTCAGCACTCGGGGGGAACTGTTAGGAATTTTAAGCAGAAATTCTCAGCCTAGTTATTCTGAGTTGACGACCAAAACGTGAAATTAAAGGAAAAGACACCAACCCCCCGCTGTCTCACTGGTGTGCCCACAGGTCACACGCATGGCATATTATTTTAGGACTTAAGAAAGGGAATTCTAAATAGTTAAATGTGGATGCCAGTAGAATTCCTTCCTAGCTTAGCCCTATATTAAGATAAAGTCCAGCGAAGCTCAGACGTGAAAATGCACTGTATCCACACAATGCACACTTTTTTTTTTTATAAATTTATTTTATTTATTTTTATTTTTGGTTGCGCTGGGTCTTTGTTGCTGTGCACAGTCTTTCTCTAGTTGTGGCACACAGGCTTCTCGCTGCGGTGGCTTCTCTTGTTGTGGAGCACAGGCTCTAGGTGCACAGGCTTCAGTAGTTGCAGCACACGGGCTCAGTAGTTGTGGCTCGTGGGCTCTAGAGCACAGGCTCATTAATTGTGGCACACGGGCTTAGTTGCTCCGCAGCATGTGGGATCTTCCCGGACCAGGGCTCGGACCCGTGACCCCTGCATTGGCAGGCGGATTCTTAACCACTGTGCCACCAGGGAAGCCCACAATGCACACTCTTATGATGCTGAGCAAAGAGGAAGCTGCCAGACCTACACTTTCAAAGGCAAAGGTGCTTGGGGTTTGGACAAATTCGTGCTGAGCCCCAAGAAAAATGAAATTCAAACCATCTGGGTCATCCATTTATGGTGTCCTCAGCAGTTTCTTTGTTTTTACGATTCTGGTGAGTGAGGACGGGGCAGACTGTGCACGTGGCGGGAGCGGGGGGCGGGCATAAGGGGAATCTCTGTACCTCCCTCTCAATTTTGTTATAAACCTAAACTATTCCGAAAAAATAAGGTCTCAAAAAATGTAAACAAATATATGTAAATATACAAATACACACATATATGTGATATACATGCATATACACACAGACACACAATGAAATAAAGTGCCGAGCCCGGACCCCACCCTGCAGTGACGAGTAAAGCGCAGGTCGTGGAAGACGGCTGAGACAGAATGTATTTACAACACCACACTGTATTTATTCCTGTCTTGGTCCTAACACTGCTGACCACGCGGGTCACTGAGTGATAAACGTGTTTATACACACAGCGCTGCTGGAGAGCCAGCTCCTGGTGCCGCCCGGCCCGGGGGAGCCCTGAGAGCGGCGGGCAGCCTGGGCAGAGGGCTGGGCTCCTGCAGATTCCAACCAGCCTCCACCCAGCGGCCGTCTTGACAAATGGAACCACACACCGTGCACCTGGACCACCAGGGTGTGGTCAGCTCTCCTTAGCAACCCGGAGACCCCCTCTTACTCCAAGCGGAGGGAGGGTGTGACTCGGGCTCTCTTAGGAAATCTGAAAGCGTGATGCAGGAGGAAAGCAGGGATTATACAAACACCAGGAGAAACCCTTCTTTGGGCCAGTTCCGCCTCGTCCAAGTAGACCTCCTTCCTCGTCCCCACTGGCTGCTGTTTGTTTCCCATGCCCACGGGCACCCCTGCACCCGCACCAATCTGGTTTCGTCCTACTGAGGAGCAGGGTTGGCCCAGCTGGGCCTGCTGACCTGCAGGGTGAGGGCAAGCAGACAGCCTGGAGCTGGAAATAAAAGCCACACGGCAGAGGAAGGAGCCTGGACCCTGCAGCTGCCCCCAATCCTGGCCGGCCTAGGGGCCCCTCACCGCACCCCATACACCCCAACACACTGGCGTGCACCCTGCTGTCCCTGAAACAGCCTGAACCCTCTTCCAGAGGACACGCACAGATCAACCCTTGACGGGGCTCAGGAAAGCATCGTAAGTGAATCCCAAAGAAGCCCAAAGTCCCTTCCCGGTTCTTTTGAAGGAGACACAGTTACAAAGGAGGCGGGCTTATTTCAGAGAACAGCCTCTCTCCCCAGCAGCAAAGCTGCTTTTCTGAGCCACTGGAGAAAAGCAAAGATGCAGCGAGGCCTTCTTTCTGGAACCTCCCTTTCCAGGACCACCTTCAGCCCCACCCTGGCTGCTCTCGGTGACAGGAACAAGACCCTGGACCCCAAAGAATGCAAACAGCTCCTGACACCAACAGATAGGAGAGCAGGCCTAAGACCATCGGGGCAGAAGCTGCAGAAACAAACAAAACACAAATCCAATAACAAAGCTACGCGGCTGTTTATTTTTATTTTCACTCCCAGGAGAA